TGCTGGCTAGGGAATTCTGGGAGTTGAAGTCCACTCATCTTAAAGTGGCCTAGTTTGGACATCATTGGCCTACAGCCTTTGTTCAACTCTGAGGCTGTGTGATCCAAGCAACAGGTCAATCTACCATGGAATATATACAACCCCTTTATACTCAGGGCAATTTGTCCATCTGGACCAGTTGATCATTTTAGGTGGGCAGTCATTTGGTAGCACTTGGCATCGTAGGGGAAGAAATCTAGAGCTGGAGGGTGAAGATAATGAGGCAAAAAGGGAGGTTTTGTCAAACGTGGACAAGGCCAGTTTCCTGGTGTTACTGTTGTTTTCCTCTTAGGAGAAGGTGCAGCTTTAGCTACATTAGCCTTTAGTTGAACTTATACTACTTTTTTCCACATGTCTCTCTTCTCATAAAAGCAGGGAATGGCAAGTTTTTTCAAGTGTATCCAGAGAGGTTCTCAGGTTGCCCATGCCTGGGCAAATGGAATATTCTTTACCCTGATGGGCACCAGTTCTCCAAGGCTTCAGTCAGAAAGATTTTCTAGCTTTGCTCTCAGAAAGTCCATGAGTGGGGTTTCAATGTGTGCTCCTGCTCCTCTCTTCCTTAAAAGTTGGGGGGAGGGAAATACTTGAAGCCCACCTCCCTAAAGGGAAGGAGAATTGGCCTGAAGGTGCTGAAGAAAAGAGATTCTACTCAGACTGCGTTTTGTAGTCCTGAAAACCAGGGACTCCCACAGCCAGCCATAAGGCACATTTATGACCCAGATGTAGAAATCCAACCCACAGGGAGAAACATCAGATTCCAAACACTTCAGTGTCAGATTATGCACCTAGTCTAAGCTAGAAATGTTAATTGCTCTTAAGGGCAGAAATGTGTTCTCATCAAAGACTCCAGTGCTGCATTTGTGGTATCTGGTGCCTATTCGCACTTCAAGTGAGAGACGAACATTTAAATACTTTCCAGCTCTACAGCAAAAGCAAAACAGGCTTGAACATCTTTTGCCTCTTATCAAATCATTAAGTACACTGCTGATTTACCTCTTTTACTCGCTGATGTTCTGAGTTGCATAAAAAGGTACCAAAGAGACAGCTATAAAGATGATCCAAAATGCTGATCAAAAACAGCTCGTTGAATTCAAATGCTGCTGGAAACTAAAGTGATAATACATTTAGATTATTTTTTTCATTAGCAAAAGACAATCCACATTTCATTTAAGTGAACAGATTACAGACACAGGTACTTAGATACAGACACAGGGGGGAGGTTTTTTAAAACATGCTAAACAAGGCTAGTGTGGATCCCAGCCCTTGTAGATGTTCACATTGGCCAGTTCAGTTAACCCAGTTAATCTAAGGCAAAATATGAAGGTTTACAACAATTCAAAGACAAGAGTTCAATTGCAAGACTTCGCTACTTTGTGCAAAATGCCTGACCTAGATATTTAAGCAGATCATTAAATTTCTGCCATGGACAGAAGAATTCTCTTGATTTCAAGGTGCCAAGCAAGACTGGCACATTATGTACCACTTATGCATCCTTGATGGACTGCAACTGTGATACTGTATAAAATCATGTTATTTATTAATTAGACAAGATTTTATAGTTCAGGATTTACAATCAGAAACAAATAAAAACAAAACAGCAATTCCCAATCTATATAGTTTAAGGCAGCTCTTTGTCCTCCATGCCCCAATGCTCTGCAGAAAAGTAAGGTCTTCAAAACCTTCTGAAAGGTCAAGAGGTTAGGGACCTTCCCAATTTCAGGAAGCGAGGTATTGTGGGGGAGAGGGGAGTGAGGTGGGGGTGGGAAGGCAACCACAGAGAAGCTGGGAAGGCATGTTGACAGGTTCCTACCACCGTCATTCATGCAGGGGAAGGAACTGTCAGAAAAAGGCACTGGCCGATGAAATCATGCTGGGAGAGATAGTCTTGTAAGTACCTATGTCCTTAAAACTTTTTGCCAAATAACCTAGGTCAGTGTTGTCCAAACTTGGCCACTTTAAGATGAGTGGACTTCAACTCCCAGAATTCCCCAGCCA